CCCCCCCCCCCCCCCCCCAGTGGGCAATTTTACTAAGAGAGAGGTTATTGCCTTGATGGAGGTAAAAAGGCTGGTGTTACAGATCATATGATCTATTACACCAGTGTCAATAATCCAAGGAATATCAGCAGAATTCTGAGAGAGTGTGGGTGCAACAAATAAACAAGTGGCTTTACCAGATAAATCAGACTGAGGTTTAGATTTTGAGTGACCAATGGTCTTTACATGATTGACGGAATGGTTGATCTGTGAGTTATCCTTCGATTGAAGCAAGACAAGGAACTCTTGATACTCTCCCTTAGTTAGAGAAACTAGCCTCTCACTTTCTTCCTATATCACACTTGATTGATTTGCAAAACTCTCATCCCTTTTCTAGCATTTGTAAAACTTATGATTTGGAGGGTAACCGTCCAGCTTAAAACACTTTTCCATATTGTGTCATGTCATGTTGCAGTGTGTGCAGATAGGAGGCTCAGTATTTCCTACCTGAAAACACTTATCCAAATTGTGTCCTGGGATTTTACAATATGTGCAATATGGTCTATCCTTTTTCACAGTGAAATTCGATTTTCCATAGCTGATGGTTTTGTTGTCTCCATAGGACCTCCTAGTTGTCATTGCAATGACTTCATTGTTCACAATAGTAGAGGTGATTTGCTTCTGTCTTTCCTGCTGCTGTATGTACGAAAACATCTCGTTCACTGGTGGAAGAAGATCAAGCATCATCACTTGAGCTCTTGTATTATCATAAATTTCATTTAGCCCCATTAGGAATTTAATTACACAATCACGCTGATGTCTATCCACCAGTACTTTCAATGGACCACATCTACATTCAGGAATGGGATCATAAACTGATAATTCATCCCAAATGGTCTTCAGCTTACCATAGTAAACGCTCACAGAATCACCTTCTTGCTCCAAATCAGCCAATGCCTTCTTTAATTCATATATCCTGGGTCCATTTTGTTGAGTAAACCGATCCTTAAACTTTGCCCATATCTCACTTGCATCATCCATAAATGCAACACTGGATCTAAGAGAGGGAGATATGGCATTTTGGATCCATGACACTACCATGTCATTACACATTTCCCATGGATGTAAAGTGGCACTGCTTGCTTCAGGTTTAGGCAATGTTCCATTGATGAAATCGAGCTTGTTTTTAGCTCGAAGTGCTCGCCGAAGTGCCCTTAACCAGGTAGAATAGTTTTATGTGGTTAGTAACTCTTTCACCATAATAGCTCCTGGATTATCTGAGTTCTCCAGCTTGTAATAGTCGAAAAGGTCAGGAGTTTGGACAGAGGTGGTATTTTCAATGCTAGCCGAATTCATTACAGCAATGGTGGTCATGGCTCTAATACCATGTAAGATTTTGCAGCTAAATAGGAATAATAAAGAGGGAAGTAATGCTGTCGGGATGAAGATGATAATCAAAAATGTTTGATTACAATTGAATCAATAAATTCATCTTACTTTCTATCATCGGTACAAGGGTGAATATATAGAAGGAAAGAGGGAGTAAAATGGTAAAAGATGATCCTAACAAACTACGACAGAAAGAATAATTGTGCACCTAACCATGTGCAATCACGAGCTGGTGCTGGCTGGTAGGTTCTCTTGCTTATGGAATATTTACATCTCCAGCTGATATGTTTATTGCCTTGTACATAATAGATGAGCTAGTTACACTATCTATACTTTCTAACACAACGCACAAAAACACATTCCAAATCCCAGCAGTTGTGTGAAAAATATACAAATTCTTCTCTGATTTTTTTTTTTAATAATTCTGATACGCTCCATGTTTGTTTTTCTAACAAATATACAAACACTAAAATTAGGTTGTTCAATTTTTATAAATCCTTCTAGATTTTTTAAAGTGTTCCCGTTCCTAACTCGCCTTCTGCAGTGAAATAAGCGGGAATCTCATAAGAGGAATAAACAGAATAAGAGAAAAGTAAGAAATCCAATAATTTAGATAAATACAGAAACACAATATTTGTCTTTCTGCTAGTAAGACCATAGCGAGTTGTGCTAGTTTTGAAATTTTACAAAATGAGTACCCAAAGAATCACTATATTGCCGATTTATACTAATTTGCTTCAATATGAAATTCTGAACATCCTTATGCTAGATTGCGGATACGATCTTATGTAAGGAAGAAAATTAAATGGCTTGACCTTTTCGGAAAGGTCAGTGACAATAAGATTGGACTGTTTTGCAAGTGAGAGAAAGTAAAGAAGCGTGTCAATATTACGAACCACGGAAGCAATATATGCAACCCGACCTTTAACCGAAGGATCACTGGAAAACTCTGCATTTTGTGTAGCATTACTCATCACTTTGTGTTGACTAGCATCAAACTCACGACCAGCGCGAACTTCTTCTCTTGGACTTAAAAGTGTGAAGTTTAGAACAACCAAAACTCGAACAAGGTGTGGAAGGAATGATGGGTCGTAAATTACATCTGCGCCCAAACTGTAGAAAAGAAAGTGAAGATACAGTTCAAGTTAGTATATTCTCTAATAACTAACTATTTGAAAGAGAGAAGTTCAAAAAATAAAAGCAAGCAATGGGATCAACATGAACTGCAGATTAGTTCATTACTCTTCTTGAGTAAGAGACATGAGAGCTTAAATATTGGGCCGACTACTGGAAATCAATCTGAGAGATTAAATCCTAGTCTTGGAATAAACTCCGACCATGCCTAATTGCATATAATGATGACACTTACATTATGTCGGGTGTGAAGTAACAAAGCTCATCTTCTGATGCTGATTCCCATGGCAAGCAAACACAATGCACCTATATTCAATATATCCAGTCGGTGTTGAGAGTAGTGGTCATTCCACAATGAAGTTTGAGAGTCAGAGAAGGTTAACTTCAAGTCAAACAAAAGCATAAAACATTGTACAATTTGTCCAAAACCAATTCAATTCACATCTCTGCATGTGAACCTTCATCATACCAATTATAAAATACAATGACATTTGCAGAGATACGAGAAGCCACATGTAATCCAAAACGTTGTCAATGACTGATCCTGTGACGGTTGTACAAGTGATCTAAGCACCTAAGGTAACACAGTTGACCTCTGTATGGAGTCTTATGTTTTACTGTAGCATAGCTGTCAATCTCTAACCAACTGCTTGACTAAGGCCCCAGTAATCATAGTACATACATTGGCTATGTTTAAAACAAACCAGTAAACCCTTAAATGTTCATGACTATAAAAGAACAGGCAAAAAGGCTGAGGCTACAAGAAAGGCAAAACTCATAGCGCAAACCTCAACCGCCCTGAGGTTTATGCCATGTAGCGTTCGCCGAGTGATAACAAAGCTCTATCATAAGCTTTGAGGCTTCTCAAGACACGTGCCTTCGGCGCTTTTGGAAACAGTGAGTGAGAGTATGAGATAAAGAAAAGAAATCAAGCTAAAGAAGTTTAGTGAGTCCAAAAGGGTTTTGGAGCGTCCAATATAGTTTGAGAATTAGCAATTCTACAAAGAAAGTCCAGTATCTTCTGTCAAGACTTCAGACAATCAAAGGTCATGTTAAATTAATGTAAAATACAAGAACTACATAACAATACACAACTATCACACCAGAATTTTTCTGCCTACCAATTCCTCTCACAGGACGAACTAGTGTGACTAGCACATTCATCTCTATCCGTGTCTTCTATTAGTTCGTGATTTCAAGGAGAATAACGGAGAAAGAAATTTCAGATTCCTACAGCTCCTCATGTGGATACTGTTGGAGACCTTTTATTTATGGGACTTATTCTAGTAAACAAAATCTACTAAAAACCATAAATGTTTACAGGAAATTTTTGATCTTTCGTAGATTACATTTTTGTATAGGGTGATCGATCATGGATGAATATACGAGTAAAAAAGGTTATTTTCCACAGTAATTTTGGTCTCACCTTACTAATGCCAAGCATCCAATGATGCATTAGGCCCAAAGGTCTTGACATAATTTGTTTTAACACTAATTGTTCTAATACCACAACAAACGAAGCCCTTGTTTGAAAGTGATTTTTTGAGAATCACTTTTCTCCCACTCAATTTCACTCACATATTCTCTAAAAAAAATTATTTTCACATTTCCTCATAAATTTTACCTGCTTATTAACTACAAATTCTCAAAAAAGATCACTTCTCAAAAAAAAAAAATCCCACACAAGCACGAAGTCCTATTCCCCAATAAATTTGGGGATGACTACAACAATCATACTAACTACACTATTAATTAGCAAATACATATATCAGACTATCAGAGTGTCTTTACGCTATAACCAACTTTGAATAAGTTCCGGAAGTAAACTACATGTACTCTAATAGATCAGACATGCTCATGTCATTATTTTCAAAATACCACATCAATGACACAATTTGGGACTGCAGAAAAAACAATTTATATTGGTGTCAAAATCACTCTGAGAGGAGAGGAATGCCAAGTATAAAAATTATAAATGGAATATTCACTACAGAACTTACAGTTGCCAGGGAATTATTACACCAATCTATCATACAGACTGACTCTTAAAGCAGAACCTCACAGTCATGATCCTCTAGCCTTTTAGCTAGATTAACATCACAAACCAAAGGAGCTCGGAAAAACTAAGAAACAAATTCTAAACATACAGCAGAAATAATTATAAACTTACCATATTGCAATTTGTATGGTGGTCTAGTAACTGCATTCCAGTTCTCAGATGGTTTAGTTCCAAGTTAAGCTTCATATTCGCTAAAGTTGACAGGTTGCCATCACTAAGTATCACCTGCAGAATGAGAATCATTGAGAGACACACAAATATACACTTCTCTAAAAGTAGTACAAACCTAGAAAGTATGATTTTCCATACGAGGATACAGTCAAACTCAAAGCCTCTCATTGGGTCTAAAAAACCCGCATATTTTTCTGATATGACTAATCTTTTGCCTGAGTAAATCACAATTTATGGGGAAAAAAAAACTATCTTAGACGGAGCCAAATATGGACAGTGGCTCAAATTAACAAGCCATCAGCACCTGCAACATTTGACTGAACACAAATTTTATTTGCCTTGTAAATAAAAGCTAAGAAGATCCTGCATGGCATTAACCCACATGATACCCTATTCTCGTGCTAATTCAGGGATGGTTTTAATCATATTTCTAACCATACTCATTTATTTTAGTAGGTACCAAACCCAAGTGTTATTCATTCGCAAAATTTTCGTAATGCCTAAATAAGAAGTATATGGATTACTAGACAAAAGAAGTTGAACAGATAAAATGAAAAAAATGGAATGTATTAATTCATTAAGGCACCGTTTGGTAACCATTATTCTAGAAAAAAATGCATTCTTTGTGTCAAATCACACCTTTTTTGTGGTTGAAAATAAAGGAAAAGTTATTGATGTGATGGAAAATATTATTTTATTGATGAATGTGTGGTTGAAAATTAGTAGAAGAATGAGAATGAAAAAAAGAATGGATACCAAACAGAGGCTAAGTTGCTTTTCAAAATGCTCAACCAAAATTAAAATAACACAAAGAAAGATATCTCAAAAAGGCTGAAACGAAAATACTTGATATCACTTGACCAACAAAAGATCAAAAGTTTGACCAAGATCTCTCTTTAATCTTTATATACCAGATGACATCTAGGATGGAGGCTGGTTAAATTTATCCAGTGGTTGTGACGCAGGATGCGTATAGTTTGTTAACGAACAATTAGGAATCACCGAATCAGAAAAGAAAGAGGAGCAAAGAAGAGAAGAATTAAGGGCAAGAGGGAAATCAATCTTTAATCATATAATCTGGTTGTCTCTTACATTTTTTTTTTTTTATAACTATGGATATCCGGACCAGCTTACGAGCACCTTGACTAATCCCACAAGGACCTCTATTTATAGAGCTAATAAACTAAGAAGTTAAAAAGACGACAAACTCCTAATAAACTATAATTGTGTCAAAATATCAAAACGAATCTAATCAAATCAAATTGAAATATACTTAAAATCAAACTCTCATTATAAAATCCTAATTAAAATATATCTCTATATTTATTCTTATCCTTATCTCCATCATTTCTCCCTAGCTGAAAGAACTCGACTCTGACGAATTAGACTGGAACTTCATACTCTAAGGAGGGCGATCTTTGTTATGAACCAAATAATGAAACGGATCGTGTGACAATTGAAGCTGCAACTCATACCCAAGACTATGAGCTGACCAAGGGGGACTGTAATGCCTCGAAAATTTTAGAATAGAATTTAATTATTTTACATACTATATTTTGTTATTTTGAAAAATTGAGGGACTAAAGTGAAGTATGTTTTAAATTCTTATGTTTTTGGTCAAATATTTGGATTTTGATAGAGCAAAAAGTATATCAATATTGTATTCATTGGATAGCTCGTATTTAATAATGTATTTTAGGCTCGAGAAAAAGTTAATTTGGAAAAGTTAGGCTCAAGATATTTTGTAGTTCTAAGAATGGATGTCTTTGCAATTAATTAAGTTAGTTTAGGATTTAATGTATAGGTGAGCCATGTTTCACATGTGGGAAAAAAAAAGTTAATGGTTATCCTATATTTATTTTGATAAAGATTAAAAGTTAAATTGTAATCCTATTTGTAGAATGTTCAAGTATTAGCTTTCAATCAAAGTACATGTGTCATATCATGATTTGTTTTACCAAAATTTAATCCCAATCCCATATGAAGATTTTGTCTATTAGTGTAGATGAAGTGAAATTGAAAATCTTGGCTATGATTGGGCAAAAGTTTTAACAGTCAAAGTCCTAAAGAAAGTCAAAGTCTGGAAGACATGTCCCATCAGCCCTCTTTTTTTATGAAAGATAAGGATGCATTACTATTAAAAGAAAAGATGAGTTTGATTGGTTATCTTAACACTCCATCATTGAATTTTAGTACGGCGTATCATCCTCAATCCGATGGTCAATCTGAAAAGACCATTCAAATCTTAGAAGATATGCTAAGAGCATATGTTCTGGATCTGGGAGGTAGCTGGGAATCATATCTACCTTTGGTTGAACATGAGTATAATAACAATTTTCAAGCAACTATTGGAATGGTACCATATGAAGCTCTCTATGGTAGAAGATATAGATCACCTATTTATTGGGATGAAATGAAAGAAAAGAGAGTTTTGGGACCAGAAATAATTGAAAGGACAGTTGAAGCCATTGATTAGATTCGTATTAGGATAAAGGCAACATAAGATAAACGAAAGAGATATGCAGATACCAGAAGGAAGGAGAGAGAATCTTTCTAAAGGTGGCACAAGTAAAAGGTGTACTTAGGTTCGACAAGAAAGGCAAACTACGACCTCGTTATATTGGACCTTTCGAGGTACTTGATAGGGTCGGGAATGTGGCTTATCGGTTGGCTTTACTGCCCGAACTATCGAAGGTTCACAACGTGTTTCATATATCGATAATCAGGAAGTATGTGCATGATCCTGATAATGTGGTCAATTACCAATCTATAGAAGTATAGAAAGATTTATCTTACGAGGAATTACCGATTATAATACTAGATAGAAATGTGCATAAATTACGAAACAAAGAAATTCAACTGATCAAAGTACAATGGAGTAAACATGGAGTAAAAGAAGCTACTTGGGAAATGGAAGAGGAAGTGAAAGACAAATATTCGACACTCTTTGCCGAACCACAAGGTAAATTTCGAGGACGATTTTTTTTAAGGTGTAAGGAAGGTAGAAACCCGAAAAATAAAATAAATTAGGCTCATATTTTAATGTTATGATCTAGCACCACAAGCCTAGTCCATAGACAAGTCTTATGCTCGGCCTACATAAGAAACAAACCCAATACTAGTCTGATATGCCTTAAATAAATATTTCTAAGACCAAATTTGCTCACACCTTATTTTCAAGGGACCGAAATATAAGTTTTTAAAAAATGAGAAGTAAAAGAGGTTTTATGAGTTTCTATTTGAGGATTAATGTTCACATTTTCTTATCTTGTTAAGTAAATAGATTATAGGGACCAAGAATAAAATTTATTTAATGACCTACTTTATTTTCCTCAAATTCAAATACACACACACACACACGTGTGTGTGTGTGTGTGTGCAAAACAACTTAAAATGTCAAAGGTTATAAAAGACATGAAACATTTTCATTAACTGGTGAATAATTAACACATTTAAAATCCACACACACACGTAACAGTACAAAAAAATGCAAGAAATGGAATCCCAAATTAAAGGCATAAAATGAAACATAAGCATTTCTCTAATCTCTTTGAATAGGTGAAATAATGGCTGCCAATATTATTGAATTAAATAGCACATAAAACGCAAAAAATGTAACCTAAACCTTGCTTTTAAATTCCTTTAATTGGTATGGATGACTGCCAACATTTTTTCAAGGACAAAATAGAATTTATTCTTTTCATTTTCTCCCAATCATTCCTTTCCCATTTCTAATATACATTTATATACAAGTTTCACACGGAAGTGCACACTTTGATCAAGAAAAGTTTTCAAAAGTATAAAAAAAGAGGCATGCTGCCGGGAAACAATATTCACCGTCCAATTTCATCCATTCAAAAGCGACAAACTAAGGCAGGTAGATGTGCAAGTGGTTATTTCGTTTTCAAGTATGAATTTTTGATAAAATATGAATGAATTGGTGCCTTTGGATACGGTGCTTCGGTACTACAATAGTTGGAATGATCATTCTCCGGCTCTGCATGTTACAATAATTCTACAAAAATTGGATTTTGCCGGAAATCCATCTACATGCGATGGTGTGAATCTATAATTCGAAAATCTTAATTTGATAATGAAATGCACCGATTATATCTATAGGAATTCAAATTCACGAGTTAATTTCCTTCCTACCAAGGTTTAAAAAGACGAAACTAAGTACTGAGGCGATTTTTCTTTATAAGGCGAGGCGTAAGCCTCACAAAAAA